GCTCTGCCAGGCCTCCCTGGGCCATTAATATCTAGGCAGTCAATGCCCCAAACAAGGCCTTCTCTCCCAGGCTGCCCATGACTGGAGTTTTCTTAACAGCACCCTCATGGGTCTCTGCAGGAATCAGATCTCAAGAGGCACTTGGGCAACCAGAGGGCGCAGCTCTGAGTGCCAAGAATTTCTCTAAAGTTAACACAGAGAAATCAAGGAAGGGCAGGGTGTTAGAGAATCTCACATACTCTCCCCACATTATCCGGCCTCTGTCCCCAGACACCTTGTCCCTCCCCTTCCCAGTTAGGACCCCTTTGCCCTTCGTTTCATTCCTGTCTGACCTCAATTCTTCCTTTGGTAGCCAAAGTTACTCTGTTCTTGTCCCTGTTGAGAGAGGAATGGGACTGGGAGGGGCTGTTCTTCTCCCCCCTACCCTATAGCGATGTCACCGAGTGAAACCCCCACCCCCTCTTCTTCATTAGTCCTAATCAGCGGTGTGAGGTGTTTCTCATTAACACGCTGACTCACCCACACCCCCCTCCCTTTTGTTAGCTATCAGCTTGTCCCCGACATACACACACACACACACACACACACACACACCACCACCAGCTTCTGAAATGGGCTGTTGCTCCCCTCAGCTGATCACCTGCACAGGGACCAGGAGCAGGGCAGGGGTCTCTCCATGGTAGCTCTGGCTGAGGAAATCCTGGGGGGAGAGGGGCAGGGCTGTCCCCAAAAATAAGGCAAGGAGGCCTGAGGAGCAGCTGGTAGTCAAGGAGAGACTGAGGGCAGGAGGGCTGGAGCTGGAGAGAATGTTGGGTGCTGGCCTTTCATTGGATGCTTGGAGACAAACCATGGGTGGCTTGGTCTCTGGGATGCCTCCCTCACCTCCCACCCCACCCCACCTCCCATGGCTGGCTCTGAGTCTATGCTGGTGGGAGTGAGCAGGTCCCCCCCCACCCCCCAGGTGTATCTGCCTCAGCAGGGATCTTCCCATCACTTTGCTCCTGTAAAAGTTGTCCCACCTTCCTTACCTTTTCAGGAGCCTAGAGATCTAGACCCCTTTACCTCCACACTCTCCAACCTTAGTGCCCCCACATTACTCCTACAGAGAACTGAGGAGCCAGTGTCCTTATATCTGATCACAGTCCTGCTGGGAATGAGAGGGGTGTAGGCAGGACTCAGCTCTTCTTCCAACCCCCCAGCCCCATATCCTCTCCTTTGGTGGGGGAGGAGCATTCAATGAAAGGCTGTAGTTCTGGAGGACCTGGGCTGGGGGCATACTAGTTTTACCTCCCTTCCCCACCTTCCCTCCCAGCCCCCAGTTACTTTCTGCCCTGCACCCGAGGCCTTTCCCAGATCTACAGAAATCTAGGAGACGAGCTGCCAGAATCTACACCGTCTGTCCTCACACTCTCACCCTATGACTGAGAATGTCCAGGTTGTAGGAAACCCTGAGTTCCCTCCCACCTTCAGACATGCTCAAGGTTAGCTGAGCCATGCCCCTGCCTCCAACTCATTCCCAGGTCATCCTTTGCCCCTTTTCTCAATGGCTAGGATTTCTCTTTGCCCGGTGTCCCTGTACCATCCCTAATTCATTCATCCCCTTCTAGCAAATGTCTTCAGTGACCCAAACAGGACCCAGACCCAAAACCTGGGTGCTGCCTTCCTCCATGGGAGTTGACTGAGATGGGGGAGTACCGAGGGGCACCGAGCATCCATGTGCCAGAAGTTCCAGAACCTTCTTTCCCATGACTTGTGAAGCCATGTTCCATAGGGATGGCTGTTCTCACCTTTTCTGGCACTCAGCACTTGGCTGCAGATGGAATGAAGGCTGGGTGAACTTTTAGAGGAGCAAGGGAGGCTGGCAAGTCTCCCCATGGGGACCTGGACCTTGACACTCAATGGGGAAGGATGTTCGCCCTGGGTCTGGAGCTGAACCTCAGGCCTTCAATTAGCAATTGCCCCCCCCCCCTTTTGTTTTTAAGGGTAAAGGGGTCGTGTGGAAATGAAAGGCACCCAGGGTTGATGCACAACTACCTCAGGCTCTTTGTGCAAACAAAGGGCAGGCCTGGCTGGGGCAGGAGTCAAGGGTTCATGACCTGGCTCTGACCTCCCAGGCTGTGAGACTTCTGAGGCAGCTGCTAAGTGTGGAGCCCAGCCCTTCCACTGCTCTCAGACCCATGAGGACATGGAACACGGATGTTCTTCCTCTTTGAGGCCCCAGCCTGGTTCCTGGCACGCAGAAATCATCTGATGAAGAAATAGCTGCTACTAATAAATGAACCCCCAGGGAGGGCTTCAGAATCTCCACCTGCCAGACCTACAGGGAGGGAAAATTCAAGAGCCCCTGACACCTGCTCAGGGCTGGGGTGGTGGCTTTGTCATGAAGATACCCTCTGCTGCTCCATACCTGTCCTAAATTAACTCATCACAAGTCATCTATGGCCACTTGCATGCTTAGGTCTCCAGAATAACCTTGGAACGTGGGTGCCCTATGAATCTCCTACTTGCCCAGTGACCACTCTCCCCTGGTGGTGTATCCGTGCGTGAGACACAGTTTTCAAGACCTCTACCAAGGGCTACCAAGGGCTCTCTCCCCACCCCTGCCATGGAGGGCACAGACTGAGCACAGATGGAACAGGTAAGTTTTATTTGGACTTTCAATTTGTTCAGAGGGCTCAGGGGCCCCCACCTCCCCTCTGCATTCCCACTTCCTAATTTCCCCTCCCTGGGGGAACATTCAAGGTACAATGCCATGTGTCTCTGGAGTCCTTGGACCCTTCCCCGCCTGACACACCCCTTCACTCACTCCCCTGCACTGAGGAGGAGGGGAGGCGTGTCAGGAGGTAGGGGGCCTGGAAGAATTGGATCAGAATGGTACATGCACTGACAATAGCGTCCACTGCCACCTGCCCGGGGCTGAGACCCAGGAGAGTCTGGCAGTGGGGGGGG